TTTTTTTTTTTTTTTTTGTGCATAGGCCTGCAGCGGCCGACGTGCGCAGGCCAACGGCGCGCACGGATTTTGAGGGCGCGCGCCCGCCTGCACGTGGCGCGGCCGCGCGCGGACTCGGCCGCGGGCCTGCGGCCTAGGATCCTGGCCGCGGACTCAGATCCTGCGGCCGCGGCCTAGGGTGCCACGTAGCTGCCATATTGTTTGTCTTTTGTACATGTGCTGAGTGGTGAAGAGAGGCCCGGGCTTGAATGAATCTTTTTGAAGAACGTGGGCTGATACACTGCCATACTTTGTCTTTTGCTATTCCTTTTTTCAGATTTTTCTTTCTTTTTGAAAAAACAATCAATTCGAATTTCAGCCCGTAGTGGCACCTGGCCCACACCCTCGCGCAGGGGCCGTGGCTCGATTTCTCGCCTGGCTCATCGAATGTGCAAAATGAGAACGAATCTTCCCAGGAACATGGGAATACACACCGCCATATTTTTTAGGGTTTGCTTTACCCTTTATCGTTTGCCTCATCTTGCTGCCCGCCCACATTTTTTTTTTCTTCTCATCCCTGCCTCTGAGTCGCGGCTTCGCCGTGGCGAGTCTGACTTGTTCACATAAAATGAAGGCAAGAAGGGAAACATGGGCCCACAGGCTTTTAGTCTTCTTATCTTAGTTAAAATGAAGGGGAGGGTAAGAGAAGGGAGACACGAACCCTCCTCACTCTTTTCTTTTAACCAAGAAGAAGAAGAAGAAGAAGAAGAAGAAGAAGAAGAAGAAGAAGAAGAAGGCAAACACAAAAACAGGGAGCAATTGTCAATAATGTCTAAGGTCATCACAATGGACAGAACTTCAGCTCTTCAACATGCTGATCAAGAGAGAGATGTGTGGCATTCGGTCACCAAGCCAGGAGAAAAGCATAAGTGGTGTTCAATCATAGGGGGATGGGCGTGAGGAGAAAGAGGCATTGACTTCCACTTTCCCTGGGTTCCTGAGGGAGGTTGTTGTCGGGTTTCCAGCTTTCCATTCAGCCATTGGTCAGCATGTGGACACACTAAGTGCTCCATCATTAAGGGCAGGGAGGGAGGGAGGGAAGGGGGGCAAGGGGCATGGAGTCAAGTCCACTGCACCTGGATTCCCAAGGGTTGATGTTGGGTTTCTCTGAATGCTCGTCGTCGTTCTTCTCCTGGTAGCCCCTGTCCTGTGTTACATCTCAGAACTGTATCAATTGCATCCTGTCCATCATTCACAGCAGTCACTTTTGCACCCATCTTCTGGAGTGTAACCACAGCAAGCCTGCGCAACACCGGAGTATCTTCGGCAACTAATACATGTGTTCCTTCTAGTGCCCCAGCAAAACTTGACCCTGATCTGTTGACATTGACAGTCGGCTTTGGGGGAGGAATTGATTCCCTGGAGCTCCCAAGCACAGGGGGTACAGGAAATGACCCACAGACAATTGCGCTCAGCGAATCGAGTTTTCCAGCACTGTTCATTCTTGCCAAAGATGATGGAAGATCTGGTATCAGCGACGAGGTCGAAACACTCGATGGCGTGCGCTCATGTCTACCAGCACTCTCTGACAAATCGTATGGCACCCAGGCTCCTCTCCCACCTATCCCTGGCCCCGCCGTGACACAGGCTTGATCCTGCCCAGGCGGCGATCTGCATTTACCATCATAGGTGTTCTCATTGTCAGCCAGTGAATCGGATTCACCACATGCACACATGGAGGGTGGCTCCTCAAATGCTAGAGGAAACTGGCCGGGCCCTAGCAAGTCGATCAAAGGCCCCTGACATGTGGGCATACTCTGCTCAGCCCAGTCAGAAAGGGTCCCAGATCCACCACAACTGCGGCATTTGCTTTCACAGCCCCAAGGAGACTTCGGCGAATCACTAGCACCAGCTGGACTGTCGATCTTCACAGTGAATTGTTCCTGCTGAGATCTTGATAACCCAACTCTTACTTCCAGGTCATGGATAGGTGACGATGCGCTGATCCTGCAACCGTGAGCAGTCGTTTCATTTGCTGAGTCGTTGGATGGAAAAGTGCTCCTTGGCATGGACAGACTCCTTGCATCAGAGCAATCGGAAGGCTTTTGGAAAGGCATCTCCATTGCCATCACCGTCTGCATTCCTGCGCCTTGTGAAAGCAAAACCTCCTGCTTGATGTTGTCGGGCTTTGGGGATGCCTGGACACTATAGCTGCCCTGCAACAATTGCAAACAATTGCAAGGCCGATGGCTGGCATTAGTCGTTGGGAAAGAAGCAGGGTTGCACTGGACTTACACACTGATCAGACCAGAAGACCACTACACACCACAATGCAGAAGAAATTCGAACTCTGCACGCGGTCTCTGTTGGAAAACAAGGGGTATTCTGAGGAAAATGACACTTTTTTTTTTTTTTTTTGGAGGCACCTTCCCTTTTATAGCTCACTTCTATTCCTGAATTTGGGAGCGAGGAAAATGTGACATCCGAAACGATTTGCACTGCAAATTGCAATTCTACAAATGGACGTCGGCATGGTTATGCTGGACCCATCCAGAAGCTGGAATTCAGACTGTCCACACAGCAATTCCATCCCACCAGGATGCCAACAAGCACCACTTTGCAGAACTGCAGGTTTTTTCTTTCCATTCTTCACGTTCTCATGCTTGTGTGTCTTCAACAGAGCTGATGAAGCCCCAGAACAAAAGTGTGGTGTGACTGGACGCGGACGCAACATCAACTGCTAGTAGCGTTACATCAGCTTCAGCATACACCCACAGCCAACGGGTTTCACTTGGGAAGATAAGCAGAGGACAAAATTCCATAAGATGTGGGCTAAGTGTTGACATCAACATCCCACCTCATTGTTGCCCAAACCAGCCACACGGAGCAAGAGCTGCATTATCTTGGTGGGATATATGGGTTTGTTCACCATCATGCTGAATCCTGAAGCGCGCAACCTTTGACGAACTTGTCGAGGGGTGCTTGGTGACAAAAGCCAGGAGATCTCCACACCAGCCTTTCGGCCAGGCTCTAGAAGCTTCAGCATCTCTGGAAGTCGGTCCATGTCATATTCCGACTTCTCGTTGCAGCAGCCCGGGAGCAGTGCCATATCCAGAAGCACAATAGGCCTGAGATTGGATGGTCTCTCTGCGTTGCATGAAGAAACGTCTTTGGACCGTTCCGTCATTCTCTGCTGGTTGTCACCCACTTCCTCCTCACCAGATGAGAGACTCAGAGCCATGCTAGAACTCTCCCCCTCTCTTGGGCTTCCGTCCTTGTCGTGATTGATGAAAACGTTGCTGGAAAGGATTTCTGATGCCACCCTCTGTGAACTATTCCTTACGGACTTGAGATGTTCTGCCTCTTGAACCCCGTTTTCCCCACACTTCACACGCTTCACCAACTGCTGGAGAGTCAGTAAGACTTCCTCCCATTCCTCTATTCTACTAACATGATGCCCTTGCCGTTCCATCCACTCTGTAACGATGCGTTGCCCAAGACTACGCCTCATCGCAAACACTACTCCTATACCTGTCAAGGTGAGCCAAGCCCAGTAATGAATGAGACGACAAGCGAGTGTAAGGATATGGTGAAAAAAAAGGGGACACCATTAACAATATCTGAAATAGAATAAGAACAATCACACCATTGCCTGACATGTTAGTCTCTCATTATTACCGTTTCACTATTTTATACTATTTATAGTTATACGACTAAGATAAATGGTCGCACTTGTTGAACCTTTCTGTCCACAGACTCCACACCAATACCACTTTGTACGACATCCAAAACTCCTGACCTGCGTGTATAATGTCTCCAGCCATCTAGCATGCATATGCACATCCCTTCTCACACAGAAAAAGAGACATCCATCATGATGCATGTTCATAGCACTGCACTGAGTGGGAGATCGGTTTGTTGCATGAGATCAGATAAGCCCCACTGGATGGATTCTACAGCGTGGATGGGCCCGAAGGAGGACCCCTCAGTGTTTTAAGCTGATGCAAGGTAATAGATGGTTGTGGTGGAGCGTTAGACTAGTCACAGCCAGGAGGCTGGCTATTAGGTTTGACACCTGTGGAGTGGGCTCTTCAGTACTGTTACCAGGCTTCAGCAACACGCTAGCAGCAGCAGCCCTACCTTCTTCCCCCGAATACAACGTACGGTTATTATAGCTGTATCTAAACTGAAAGATGCCTCAAATACAGCTATAATGACCGTACGTTGTATTCCGGGGAAGAAGGTAGCTGCAAAGCCTTAGAGAGTAGTGGTATCAAATGTTACAAGGGTACCTGTTGCGGCTTCGCTCGCAAAAAATATGGAGGGCAAAAACAAAAACGTCAAAGGGCTCACCTGTGTACTCCTGTTGACTCAGTGGATGCATTGCTGCTGGAGGTCAGAAAGTCTTTCTTTTCTGTTTTTTTCTTTTGCTTTCTACATTTGCACGGGAGTTACCTCCGAGAGACCTGTTGAGGCTGAAGGGTTTGGTGGGTTCGCAGGGGGGGGGAAACATATACTACACTTGATCGTGCTGGACGGGGGGGGGCGTAGTTAGTTAGATTGGGGTGACTCTCTCTCTCTCTCTCTCTCTCTCTCTCTCTCTCT